GTTTATAATGACGAACATGTGGTCCAAGGCAGCTGATGTTCATGCAGAGTTGAGTTTTATGCATGGATCACCGTGCGTGAAATAGTTTCGAAGCCGAAGTGTCCAGAAACCTTCAAACATCGCGCCTTTATGCGTGGCTTGCTGTTGACACGTCTCGTCTCGGGCCCTGTTCTTCACCCGCATTCAAAAAAAGAAGAAAATGGTGAAAGATCCTCATGCGTAAAAAATTCATCACGTTGTATTTGAATATTTATCGATTAACATATTGATACATATTTGGTGAGTGAATATAGTTTAGGGATAAGTAAAACGTCGCGTATTAGTGAAACGTCCGGTAAGGCATCTTAATGGTAGGGAGATGTTTCGACAAATTCTGGAACGTCATTGACAACGATCGCATCTTGAACGCCCATTACTTTCATGTTGCCGCACCACAACCTCAGACGATTTCCCCCTCCTCTTCTTCTTCCCTCCCCCCTCTCACAGACACCTCCCACTCTGTGTGTGGTCTCATCTGCTAGTCAGCAGGCAGTGGCTCTCTGGTGAGAAATTGGCTTCCATTGCTTTCAGCACTGCATACACTCAAAGCCCATTTGGAACGTTTTTGAACACGACACAAGTCCATCACCCGCGAAGGTCCTGCACTATCCGCCAATCCGCTGCCGGACCCGCCGAAGGACCATGTTTTTATTCATCGCGACGCTGTTTGGATTAGCGGTTCCGGAATGCCAGCAGCGCGCGTGCAAGCGCCGGCGCGCTGGGCGCGTCGTCAAGGCCAGGCGTCGGCCCGCTCCAGCCAGTCACGTGGTGCGCGGCACGCCCGGCCGGCGGGGTCACGTGACGTCTGGCCGACCAAGCCGTGACAAGCCCGCCGTTCGCGCGACCTCGCACATACGAGGCGGGCTGGGGCTCGGGCCGCCCAGGTGCGCGTCCGGCACTGCCACTGGCGGGGGCTGACACGCGGCGCTCTCGTGCCCGAAGGCGACGGGCCACGCGGCGGGCCGGGCAGCGAGCACGGCATTCCCCCACTTCCTCCCGCCGATTGTGCGGTGGGAAGAGAATCGAGAGGCTTCCTCTGACGTCGAACCGGAGGCCTCGGGAAGAGCGACGGCTGCTACTGCCGGGGCAGCGCTGAGGAAGCTGCCGCTCACAGGACTGTGGTTCTGGACTGCTTTTCAGCAGCGCAAGAGGTTGTGACTTGTGCTGTCCAGCAGCTGCCGTTCGAGGACTGTGCTACCGCACTCCTGCGGCGAACGGAAAGGCGGGCGCCGGCGCGGGGAGAGTCGGCGCGTGCCCTGGCGGGTCTCCGGGGCCTTGTGGCCGTGACTTGGGTTCTGTTTGTGCCGCGCGCTGCAGCAACAACGCGCGACCCGTGCCGGCGCCGGCGCCGCCCGGGCCGCAGTCTGAGCGGCTCGGTCCGCACCGGCCGCCGGCGCTGGCAGCCGCCAGCCGGGTGCCAGTGTCGGGGTGTGTGGTATCGGCCCGGTGTACGAGACGCAAGACGCCTCTGGGCGGCGAGGTGGCCGTGCTCGGGGACGTGGCGAGCGCCGTGTCGCGTTTTGCGCCGACTGTCGCGGTGACAGCGGGGTCTGTCTAGTGAGTGCCCCCCCGCCACCGCCGCCTCGTCTCAGCAGCGAGCCGCCAGCGTCGCCGGGTTGACCGTCGCCATGGAGGAGTCGCGGCGCAGATGGAGTCCCCATGCTGCGTACGGGCATGCCCCGCTCATCTCCGAGGACTGGTCGATGACAGCCAGTCGGAGGACGAAACAGCCGCTGTACGAGACAACCGGCCGGCCGTGTACACCTTCGTCGAGGGGGTGAGGACGGTCGCGACGACGACAAGCCGATGGGCGCGGCTCCCTGCCTGTGGGGGGGGGGGGGGGGCATCGCCCCCGCTGCGCCCACCGTCCGCCGGTCCAGCAGCCATGGTCTGCGGGGGCGTCGCGGCGCCGTCGGCCGGACGCCCTCAGTCGTCAGCCGGTGAAGCTGGCGGTAACTTCGTCACGACAGCGCCCAGCTGGCCGCCGAGCGGCTGGTGACAGAGAGCCGGGCAGTAACAAGCTGGGTGCATCGGTGCCTTGAACGTCAGGTCGCGTGACGAGAATGGTCTGGTTTTCTGGGCGCTTCTTGGGACTGTCGCGAAAGTGTAGGTAATCGAAGACTGTGAATTCGTGATCAAAATTACGTAGGTTGTTAAGCGCATGAGAGGAACATTATTCGTATAGATGAGACAGTAGCAATAGCCCTATGCCTGGGAGATTATATCTTCATTCTGGGTTTCCCCGAGGAATAAAGCTTTGACTGCTGTCTTATCTTTGTGAATTTATGATCGTTTGAAGGCGGGTTTACGCTTAGCATAACCTTTCGCCATTGTTGTTGTCAATGGGGCTTACGGCGCAGTCAGCCAGCCCAGGTTTATACGGGTGTCGCCCGTCTCTCACCTTGGCGAGAAGGGTGGACACCTCGAGCACTCCGAACCCCGTGCCTCTTCTGGTTTTCCAGTAGTGAAACCCCTGCGCTAGCGGCACCCAGCATTTTGTCCACTGTCAACGTGACCGGTGAGGCTGTGGTCCGAAGCGACCTTCTGCCTCGTTGTTGTTGATGGGGTTTTAGGGCGCGCCGGCTACTGAGGTCATTTTGCGCCCATCAACTAAATGACGACCTTACGTCCTGTAAATGGCTACAAATCCTATATTGGCCCGGTGTCCCTAGCTCTGACAACACTCACGGGTCAGTGCTCTGTTTGCTAGGTAAACACCGCCATTGTGAACTCCAGGGACCGGCTGTCACTGGAAGACGCTCCCCGAACGGCTACCTGTGACGTCACAGGTGGCTACGCCACACACGAACGAACCGGAAGTTCAAAGTGTGGGGCCTGGCACAGCTGTCCTGTGACGTCACTGGGAGCCGTTTTGGTCGATGAGGAGCGGGCACCAACCCGAGTGGTATGGCTCTTCGGCGCAGTGCCTGAGTAACCGGGGCACCTGCAGTACTTCGCTTGGTGACGGGGGCGTGACGCGTAATGTCTGGTCGCGCCGTTACATCGGGCCGGCCGAGGCGCTGTCTCACGCGAGCCAGCGGCGTGCTGGGGCCGGCGAGGGCGCCAGGTCAGAGGGTGTCGTGTCATCGGTGTCTCAGGCGCACACAGACTGACAGCACGTGCTAATGCGTCGGCGTGCCATATCCTTCTCCTCCTCCCCCCCCCCCCCCCCTACGCACCCGCAGGCTGACTGGCAGGGCCGAGCTGCCAACAAGTCACCCGTTTGTCCTGCACCACTGACGACCGTGGAGACACTGCGCACTGGGCGCAGTGGGCAGGCAGCAGGCAGCTCTGTCAGCAGCTCTGTTTCGCGGCAGGCAGCTCTGTCAGCAGCTCTGTTTCGCGGCAGGCAGCAGCAGCTGTCAGCAGCTCTGTTTCGCGGCAGGCAGCAGGCAGCTCTGTCAGCAGCGCTGTTTGGCGGCAGGCAGCTCTGTCAGCAGCTCTGTTTCGCGGCAGCAGGCAGCTCTGTCAGCAGCTCTGTTTCGCAGCAGGCAGCTCCGTCAGCAGCTCTGTTTCGCGGCAGGCAGCAGGCAGCTCTGTCAGCTCTGTTTCGCGGCAGGCAGCTCTGTCAGCAGCTCTGTTTCGCAGCACGCAGCTCTGTCAGCAGCTCTGTTTCGCGAGGCAGGCAGCTCTGTCAGCAGCTCTGTTTCGCGGCAGGCAGCTCTGTCAGCAGCTCTGTTTGCGGCAGGCAGCAGCAGCTCTGTCAGCAGCTCTGTTTCGCGGCAGGCAGCTCTGTCAGCAGCTCTGTCAGCAGCTCTGTCGCAGCTCTGTCAGGGCCGGGCCCAGCCGTGTCACCGACCCACCGTGTCGCCTTACCCGCCCTTCTGGCCACGCCGATCGATGACTTGAACGCCGTCCACCTGACCAGAAAAAGTCGTGTTTCGACCGTTTAGGCTCTGAGAAGAAGTGCAAGAAGTGTAGGCTCTGAGTAGAAGTGAGTTGTTGCGGGTCTCGGTTAAGCTGGGTATGTCAGGGGAGCATTAACTTTTTTCGCAAACTTATCATCAGGCGGACAGGAGCGGAAATCTCTCGCAACTAACACCAAACAACTCGAGATCGTAAAAACCGACGTCAAAGGACGATCTCGATGCACCAGTGGCATGTCCGCAGGATGCATCGCTGAGTGGCATTGCCAGTGTTGCTGCGCTCGTCGCCGTACAGCAGTAGCACTTCCTCTGACGTCACGGATGCGGGCCGTGCGGATAATGGTAGGCGCGGCCGGCGCGCGGTGCATCCGTCGGCTCGGTTTTGTCGCCCGTGCGGCCGCGTCCCCGGCGTTTTAGGACGCGCGCCACGTGGAGTGGGCTTGTTCCATTTGGCATTGGTGGCAGTGCCCCCTTACTTGTGGCTGTCGACGAGTTCCCTGCATGTCTGACACCTGGCGTTCAGAGCGCGGTAGCGTGGTGCCCGGTCCAGTCGCCTGGTGTCGGTGATGTCCAGTCGCCTGGTGTCGGTGATGTCCAGTCGCCTGGTGTCGGTGATGTCCAGTCGCCTGGTGTCGATGATGTCCAGTCGCTTGGTGTCGGTGATCTGGACCAGGTGACTTGCAGTCCGAACGCTGACATCGCGTGCATTTCTGGTGTTCTCCGACGGTCTTGAGACGGGCAGCAAGGCTGTTCCCTTCAGAACGAAAGGTCAAGCTGACATTACATCGTTCGGCAAATGCTGGACGCTTGTTACCTACGTCCGCCAGCATTGGACACTTCACTGCCTTCTGCCTGCTGGCAGGCTCTATTCGACGGCAAACATGCTTGGGCGTGCATGACTTCGACACGAGAGGCTGCGGTTTTCGGGAAAAAAACACGATCGTGGTGCCCATTGGGGTCCCGATTGGTCTAGGTGGACTCAAGTTGATATTCCAGAACGGTCCAGGCATATGTAAAAGTATTTCTCTTTCTTAACAGTTTGATTTCGCCTTATACCACGACTGTGTCCTAATTGTTGTTTTCCCCTCTTTGCAGAAGCACGTGATTGACACCAAGAGCTGCGGCCCGCTGACGGTCTACGTCCAGGTAGGTGTGCTGGCGCGGCGCACTGCGGCCCGCTGACGGTCTACGTCCAGGTAGGTGTGCTGGCGCGGCGCACTGCGGCCCGCTGACGGTCTACGTCCAGGTAGGTGTGCTGGCGCGGCGCACTGCGGCGTGCTGACGGTCTACGTCCAGGTAGGTGTGCTGGCGCGGCGCACTGCGGCGTGCTGACGGTCTACGTCCAGGTAGGTGTGCTGGCGCGGCGCACTGCGGCGCGCTGACGGTCTACGTCCAGGTAGGTGTGCTGGGCGCGGCGCACTGCGGGCGTGCTGACGGTCTACGTCCAGGTAGGTGTGCTGGCGCGGCGCACTGCGGCGTGCTGACGGTCTACGTCCAGGTAGGTGTGCTGGCGCGGCGCACTGCGGGCCCGCTGACCGCTCTACGTCCAGGTAGGTGTGCTGGCGCGGCGCACTGCGGCGCGCTGACGGTCCTACGTCCAGGTAGGTGTGCTGGCGCGGCGCACTGCGGCGCGCGGCGCGGCAGGCAGCGGGCCGGGCACTCCCGTCCAAGGGTCGGAGCAGCACGAGCCCTGTCTGCGGAGAGAGACGCTAAGTCGGATGACCCGGCCTGGCGGGCCCCTCTGGAAGCAAGGACGCCATGTCGGAGCGTCTCCAGGTCCGACTTAGTGTCGATCAGTGTCATTTCATGCAGGCGACATTTGGATCCCTTCATTAGAACAGCACACATAAACAACCTGCCGTCTGCCCGGAATAAAACCCTTTTGAGCATATTAAGCAAGAACGAGTGAAATCCATGCTGGCAATGCTCAGTCCTGACTGTGACGCATTAAGCGGATCAATCTGAACGCCAGTAGGTGCAGTCGTGCGCTCAAAACGAGTCTGCGCCGCAGCCGCTTGATGCAGCCCAGTACACGGGACAACGAAAATTGCATGACCCAGCTACGTACACAGAGACAGTTTGGTATGCGGATACGTCCACCCAACCATGCGATGCAGTCCAGTATATGGGAGTGTCCGGCGCACGAAGTTCGCTCTGTATGCGAGCTTCACTGTCATTAAATGTCGTCTGGCGTACGCGGGAGGGTTTCATTTGCTCTCCAGGCACAATATATGCAGTCTCGTGAGCGTAACGGACGTAAGACAGTGTCACTACCGGACGTAATCGTGGACATATAACGATCCAATTTCACAACCACAAGGTGCAGCTATACCGCGCGGGATAGGTCTACTCCACAGTCACGATGTGCAGTCCCATGAGTAGAGCGAATCAACGTCGCAGACACCAGGTGCAGTGTTGTACCTACGTGTTTTAAGCCACTAGGTGCAGTTTTGTGCGCGGATTGGACCACCATTGTAGCGACCAGACGCAGTTTTGCACGCGAGCGCGTCTTCTTTACAGCCACCGTCTGTTTCTTACTCGGAGCTGGTTCGCTTTACAACCATTTGTATTGACTATCGTTGTTAAGAGAGTTTCTGACGGATAGTGCTCATCACGCATAACTGAAGAACTTAAAAGATTACATCGTCAGTTCCACAAAATTTACCACGTTCGCGGAATATGTCGGTACTATCAAACGAATTGACTCCTTAAACTGAGTGTTTGGCGGAAAGGGCCCGTAAGTGCGACACAACGCAACCCAGCCGCAGTCGGGTCGCATATTGACTTTTAAGCACTGTGTCA